TAAATAAATTTAGCAATAGATGGCAACAACTCCATTTTTGTAAAACTAATATTGATCAATTAAAAGTAATTGACAAATTGTTAAAATAAATATCAAAACAATACATTTAAACAATACATTCAAAAAACTGTTTAACAATGATCTTATTATTTCAGTTATTTTCAATAATTATATAACAATAAAAATGACGTGGATGTTGTATATATTAAACCTTTAACACACTTTTGTCGTTTTATTCAATTGTTGATATATACTTATGTTTATATAAAACAATTTATATAAAATAAAAATGATACTTTTAAAATAAACAAAATTACATTTTAAATTTAAGAACTTTATCAAACTTAACTCGAATAACCAAATTAAATTTAACCAATAATCAACAGAAATAAATTGTGCGATTTAATATTTGTATTATTGTTTTTTGAGCATGTTCTTTGTGTTTCAGAAAATCATTGCTCTAAGTTTATTACATGTATAAACTTTATACCTTTATAAAAATTTATTGCAATGCTTTAATAAATTATTAACACTTAACTGATAGCAGTTATTAACAAAATATTTGTATATTGTTGTATATATATAACAAAGAAGTAATTTAAATATTTAATGAAATTAAACCAAAAAGTGATCAATATACACAAATATACCAATTTATACATACATACATACAATGTATTTTTCCAATACCAAAGTTAACATACCAAGTTGTGTATGCAACGTGATCTTTAAATACACAATGAACAGTAATGATTGATGCTATGGTTTTTATATGTATATTTTAAATTAAAATTGATTTTCTTTTTGTAAATATCGATCTATATTAAAAATGATTATATAAATTATATAATATAATCGATACGTTTTTTATAATAAAACAATTTGAATACAAGTCTTTTATTAACCACATTATACCACAACCATTTCCTATCTTCTAATTTCCCGTTTTTCATTGACATGTTACTGTGTCTTGTTTTAGATTTAACATTTATCATAAAAATGTAACTTTAAATATGAAATAAACATTGAATTTATTGGCAAGTTTTTGTTTTGCCTGTTGAGTTCTGACTCTGCCACGTACTTAACCACATGTTTATATTCACATTTACGAATAAATAGTCATTTTCAACAACCAAAAACACAAAAAATATTTAATATTTTATGGTTCGATTATGGTTTGTTTTCATTAAAAACTCTATTTTCAAGTAATAGTGATTCACGTTAAAATATTCTTTTTCGAATCAGCTAGTCTACATGGTTGGTTAAATATGTGAAATAACATCGGGCGACAACAACGAAATGATGAAGTGTCAAGTGTAATATAACAAAATATTTTTAATGAAAATATCATTACGATTTATTTTATGATCAAGAAATCATGGGACTGCGTAAATACGAAAACAATTTCTTGCTACAGAAGCTCTACATTATAAGTGTCAACAATGTGATATAAAAATACAGGAAGTAATCAAAATTAACTTAAAATGTGCACAACGTAATAGCATGCGTCGATTTAAGCATGCCCGATAAAAATTGATTGTATGGCGGTATTTTTATTTTTGGAAATAGTATTTTATTTTTATTTGTATAAACTGAATTCAATTTTAAGGGTTTCTTGAGGATAAGGTGTATCCTCAGGATCAAAGCTATCCTTATTAAAAAATATTTTTCTGAGGATACAAAAATCAAATCCATAAGGTTCAGTTCCCCATAAAGCCCACTTTCATAACTCAAGTTATAATTTACACTTAATATTTTGAGTCAAAGTTCAATTTTAAATAATGGTAATAATTTGTCATAAATGCCAAAAGATTAAATACAATCAAAAAATCTCCACAATAATCAGTAAACAAAAACAATAATTATATCTCGCGAACTTGAGACGGAAAATAACAAAACATGAATTAAACTTGTTCATATTATGATTATATACTTATTGAAATTATTTCCGAATCCGTCTTTATAACATAATAATTAAAATTTACATTTAAATTGTTAATTGTTTTTTTATCAAAATGAAAATTGAAAAAGTCGAAAACACTGATTTTCTAAAAATGTGATTTAAAAATAACAAATTTATAAATAATTTTGTAATTTATGCAATTATTCAAATTTATTGTAATAACAAAGTTAATCATATTGTGTATAATTTAATATGATTGTTTCATATTGATATTAACTTGTGTTTTAAACAGATTTACAGTTCTGAGGATGGCAATTATTTTCTGAGGATGACAGAAATAGAAAGTTTACACTTTTACATCTGTCTGAAATGTATATTGAGTAAGTTACTATTTTTAAATATGGGAACATGTCATTTCACTTCTTAGATGTTTAAGTCCGCGTTGATATTGTCTGTTTGTTACACGACTTACCATCCTTAAAGATATGTATAACACTGACACTATTGATTTAAAATTCTATAAATAAAATTATCAAAGAATTTTTATAAAGTGAGTTTTTGTTAATTGATTATATCAAAAATCGTCAAAACACAACAAAAACGCCAAATAATAAATAAAATTGTTTATTGAATTAAAGATACATTTATTAAAATTAATATCGTATAATAAAAAAATAATATAAACATATATTTCTTGTGTGTATATGTTTTGAAAAATAAATAAAACCGTTTATAACAAAAACAATAATTATACAAATTTGTTTATTTATCAATCGTTGTTTTATCGATCTTCAAAACCTCGCGTTTTGAATTTGCGCAAATACATAAATTGTCATCGCATAAAGTATTAATTATCAGTATGTTATTTGCTATCAATTTTTATTGTTTGAAATTTCATAAATTGATTTTTAATAAATTGTATTTTTTGTGAAAAAAAGATTAAAAATTGTTCGATTAATTTGTTTTGTGATTTTGATTAAAAAATTGACTTTTTCGATAAATTAAATTAATTTTTATTGTTTTTATATGAACCAAGGTTAGTCTAGTTGTAAATCAAAAAATAGAAGTAGATTATTTTTTTGTAAAAATCTACTGAAAGAATCATCTTTCAAAAAATCCATAAATAGCATTTTTAAAGAAAATCATGTGTTTCAAAATATACCTTATTTATCTTAGGCAAAAAAATCCAAAATGAAAGAAATTATGTTTAAGATATTTACCATCCTCAGAAAAATTAACAATCCTCATGAATCCCTTTAATACAATGTTTTTACCTTTTCTGTTTTTCTGTTAAAAAGCCATTAAATTATTAATGGCTTTATTAAACAAATCGGGTCTTGTGTTTTTTTTTGATTTTTTGCATTTGTTTAATTTAATATTTCGGGAATTTAACTTTAATTTATCAATTACTATGAA